GGCTTCGGTCTCCTCCCTTCTTGCAAGCTTTCGCTATGGCTAGGACGATGCCCACAAAGCTGTTTAGGGTTTATGGGGTTTTCCCTCCAACCCAGGGGTTTCGGGTTTAGGGGTTTAGGGTAGGGTTTAGGCCCAGGAAGCGAGATTGCTTTGGCATTCCAGCAAGTTTAGGGTTTGGGCTTTGCCTTAAAGGCCCGAAGGACAAAACCATATATTCACCGGCCCTTTTAAACTAGAGAGACCATCTTTCGGGATGACTTCCTACCATCTTATGCGCCCTCATCCACATAGTTACTATCCCCCAAAACCCTTTTTTTGCAGCAGGCAAACCCTAAAATCCTAAACCCTAAACCCTAAAACCCTAAAACCCTTTCTCTGCCGAATGAGCCCTGGGAGCCGGGCCAACCCGGCTCTCGGAACTTTTCTGAGTTGTCCCTTAAGCCCTTTGAAAATTACTTACTATTATGGTTCTCTACAAAATCTCTCTCTCTCTCTGCCGTGCCATCATCAAGTGTCTCTACAAAATAGTAGGGGAAATTAATAAAAAGATCCCAAAGGACAATCCAGTTTTGTTATCGTTCATCGGCCGCGTCTTTCTGGGTGCCAGCTGGCTTCAGCAAGTTCTGGGCTCCAGGCAAGAGGCCGCGGTTAAGGGTTTAGGGCCATGCATCCACGTCTCCGGCTGTTTCGAGGCCCTTTCGTTAAAAACAGCAGTTATGGGCGTAAGTATAATAATCACAAGAATAGTGATATTAGACATAGGTATAAGAATAATGATCACAAGAATAGTGATACTAGGCATCGGCATAGGTATGGTAATTGGTGGGTCCGTTCAGCCCAGGACAAGCGAAGCCCTGGGGCCTTCAGGTGAGACTCCGAGTTTTCCTCGGGATCGACGGGAAGGGCGGTAGTTTTCAGGGGAGCTGCGATCAAGCCCAGCTCCCCCTAGCCACCGCTTTGGAGGCCTCAAAAGCTGGGGTGAAGGTAGGTAGGATTTAAGGGTCCCTTATAAACGAACTCTTTTTTTTTTTGGAGTAGGAGTAGGATTTAAGGGTCCCTTATACGGACTCTTATTTTGGCGTCACCCACCTACCTTCATCCCACCTTCTGGAGTTCATTGACGCAAACGTCACATGCGAGGGTTGTTCTACATCTATAACCCTGAACCACGTGTCTAGAGAACGCTTCACGAGCTTGCCCGAACTCGAAGCGGGTTTCACAACCGAGCTTTCCCCAATCGCCCTATTATATTCATTGCTAGTATCATTAAAATGATTACTATTGTTTATACCGAGAGGACCAACCCTCATGCAAAGCCCAAGGCCGCAGCTAACGACGTTCCGTCGTTACGACTGCGTGACGGACCAGGAGATTTCGTTGTCCAAACAACATGGGATTATCTTGAACGGAAGATGCAGCGCAGCTCTTGAGACCGTGTCCCATAAAGAAGGCTGCAACATGATGGAACCGACCCGCACAGCGAAAACCACTCCAAGCCAGGATTGAGTTGAGGATCAATCATTACAAACGAGAATCCGAGAACCTGACACCAGTACCGCTCAAACCGAAGGTCATGGCCACCTTGACTTTGCCAAGGGGTCGAAACTCGCGTGATTCGCCTTCGCTTGCGAGGCAAATCCGGGAAGTGAACATCTGTACGGGGCACAAGCTGAACACGAGTCCCACAGGTCTCATAGGCGAGCTCCGTATAACATCACTTGCTGCGAAGGTGAAGTAGATCACCAGTCCGTTTCATAGCCATAGAATCAGGTACCCCGAACTAAGGCCCTATATTGGATCGCTCCTGGCTCCTTGAGATCGTGTGTCAGTGTGCCGAACTCTGCTGAGCACCGGCTCGAAGAGTTGAAGCACCAAGCGCCTGTGCAAGCCCGACACCATAGCTATACCCCCTTAGAACCATAAGAAAATAATAGGTTTAATATTCTCTTGGGTTTTACATGAACAAAAAATACAAATAATTCCTAAGGAGACTATAGATAGCAGTAGCCCAGCTTCACTTCATCGGTTTTCTACTATGGGTGCCTTCATAACTGGGATAAGGCTTCGGGGGTACCTTTAAGCATATTTAAATTAAGGGAGCCTAGGACCTAGGAATAACATTGTGAAGTATTCCGGCCTCTACAGTACATGAAAATTTGCACGTTGTGATTCGTATGATTTAAACAGCAATCCTCCACAGCGGCTGCAAGTTTTTAGGTGCTTGAGTTTGTATGATGGACCCAAGTCCATCTAGTGCTGAGCTCGGCGCAGGCATGCTTTGCTTGCAGGAAAACTGGACCAACTGCTCAGCTAAACATGTCCAAAGACATCGATCTATATATTCGGGTCTGGAGCTCGCGTACAGGAAGGCGATGGTAGCGCCGCCAACATCCCGCAAACAAGCGCCCCTGTTGATGATACTAGTACTCGCAACAACTTCTCTGTTGCCGTTGGGTCAGTATTTACTGGCGTCGCCGCTGCGATAATGAGCCTGAACTTGCAAGACCCAGCGGTCAGCTTTGATGCCTTTCCTGACGCGAAGGAACCCTTGAGATGATATCTCCTCCAGTATCCGGCCGCGGAACAGGAGACCACACCGTCCAAGAAAGCTGTGGGCCTTGGGGTGCCAAACCTGCAAGAACCTTTGTACGCGAAACCCTGAAGGTTCCCTGGAGCCCCAAACCCGATCCCCTCGAGAACCCCTGCTACAGAATGCTAAAGAACCCTCTGGGATCCCAATCATAACAAACCCCGGTAGAACCCCAGTGATAAGCCCTGGTGGAACCCTAAGTCACAGCTTTCCAAGACGTCATGGATGGAATTTTTCAGAGGCCTTGGGCCGCTCGTTTTCAGTAGCCAGGAGCTCTGATCCCATCAGCGAAGCCAAAGTGACGGTTGGAGGCTTCAGGATGTTTCAGGACCTAGGGTTTACAAGGCTTGAAGCTCATGTTTGAAAGCCTTTTTTCCACATGCCTGTAAAGGCAAACGGAAAGCTTGAAGTGTTTGGGGGTTTCGACTCACACACTCGCACACGGCCGGCATGGCTTCAGGCACTGGGTCCACTGAGCTTGCTACTTGTACACCACGGGGCACAACAAGAAAAACAACACCAAGACCCAACAGTAGCCAGCCAACCAAGTACAAAGGGAGCAAGTATGTTCTATTTGTTTTGTGGTGCTACTGTTTCAAAAGATGTCAGTATGTCATGGTGCTTGTGGTCATGCTACAATGTATGGTGAGGACGGGAGGGTTTTTACAAAGTTTACAGGGCTTTAAGGGTTTTCGGGTTTCAGCAGCTTTCGGCTCGAATACTCGGACAATCCCAGGCTAGACGGGATGAGACCCAAACACTCGGAGCCCACATGAACTCCACAAGTCGGCTTTTTCTAAGGGGCCTTGATAATTAGAATAGGGTTCCTTTTAAAGGAGCTCTATATAAGGGTTACTATAAGGGTAGTATGATACAATATATACAATAATACAGGGGCCTTAATAATTAGAGTAGGGTTTGGGGACCCAGTATACATTATACTCTAATTAGAATAAGGAGCACCCAAAGCCGTATAGGTAATTATTTAGGCCCCTGTCTTATCCTAAGGGGCTTTGACGGTAGAAGGGTTTGAGGCTTCTTATGAAGCACGCATCGGACAGCCGCTCAGCTACTAGTCTGGCTTACTTAAGTAAGTGGGCTTATAAATAAGGTAACTATACTTATAAGTACTTATAACCCCAGTTAAGGTACTTATAACCCTACTTACTAAGTCCGATGATCCTCCAAGTATCATTACAAGATTAGGACAATGTCCGCACTTCAGCTAGCTATATAGATTCAGGTGAATAGCTTGGAAATGTGACCTTGGTCTGTCTGCTTGATGGCTTCAGAGCTCAGGGAAGCAGTCTCTCTGCTTTTCCTTACAGCTAACCGGCTGGCAACTTTACCAAAGATCGACTGCAGCTCTGGACCTCTGAACCTCTTTTGCTCGAAAGACGCAGGTCTGAAGTTTCCTGACTTTCGAATGACTTCTCTTGATTCCACTCTACATACGGGGTGCTCCGGGCGAATACAGGTTCAGAGGGAGGTTCAGGCTACAGTCGAACCAGGCAGCTACCATTACCAGTCTTCGTCAGCAGGGATTGCAGGATTGCATCATTCATCTGTGTGTTCTTTCTGCTTGCCTGTGTGGCCTATTTGTTGTGTGTCAAGCTGGGCTACTCTCTCCCTGTCTGCGCCTTCGCCGTCTCTTTCCCGCACTGTCAGCTCCTCTACTCTTTATCTGCTCGTTGCATCTGCGTGTCTGCCGATCTTCGTCCTAAGGACAGTGCAGGCACTGCTCGAGTCCCCAAAGAACACTCTTCCTTAACCATGACCAGTAGGTACCCACGCTTCACTCGGGTCATCGGTCGTGTCCGGGAAAGTCGCTAACTCTTCTGCCCCGGGGGCTTGAGGGCCGGTCAAGGCCCCCGGGCTTCAAGCCCACCCGATGTTTTATTGGGTCCAGAGGCCTGACAAACGAGTGTAGGCCAAATCAGGGCTCGGGAGCGTAGCACAAGTCTCTCTCTCTCTCTCTCGCTTCTCTCTCTCGCTCTCTCTTTCTCTTTCTGCTCCTTTTTGCTCTTGCTTCTAGCTTCTCTTCGTGAGCTCATCTCTGTGTCTGCCTCTGTCTGCGTGTTCTTCTCCACCTATAAACGGCCTCCCCTCTTCGGTCTACGCATGTCTACGCTACTTCTAACTGAACTCTGCTTCCCTCTCTTTACGTTTACCAGCATTGAGGCTGATGATCCTGAATGCTCATGGCACTTCAGGAGTCCACGCGCCCTGCATCCCCTTAAATGGCTCCGCTAAACGGAACCAGGAGGCAGTCAAAATGCATGAAAAAAGCGACCCAATCGCCTCTGTAAAATAACACACTGTGTTATTGTGGGCGCCCTGGGCGCTTGTGCGTACCCGGCCGGGTAAGAGGGAGAAGCTCACGACTGCTCTAAAAGCAGCAGTAGTCCCGTTACCAGCAGGATTTGCCGCACATGGTGCTCATTGATGCCATCGGGGGTCTGGAGCCTGCCGGGTAGGTGGAGAGGCCAGCAAACTGCTGCAACTGAAACCCGGCATAGGGGGAATAGGGGAAGGCTCTCCATGAGGTGCCCTTCCAACTCAGCAAGTCCGATGCAAAGAAGGGCATCACGGAATAAGCGACTCCTGTCCTCAGCTCGCGATATCGGAGTTTCCCAAAATTAAGGGGTCCCTTACTATTTAGGGTACAATATTAGGGTCCCCTATTTTCAGAAACTCCCATATTGTGGTATAGCAATGGGAGTGATCGTAGATAATTCATTATTATACTAGCTGCAATTTATGAACCCGTAGCTAGCCTGTTAAACAGCGATCGGAGATTGTCCCCCGGAAACCCAAAGAGGTCCCAAACATGATCCGGTGGCATGGTGACCGATCCTGGCGTGGAGCAGTCGGATTCGGTATCCCAGCTGGCGAAGGCTGTGGAGAGACTGTCACTTGATGGAAGGCGTACACGATTGCTCTCATCGATCTTCAACACGGGCGGAACACTGCCGTGCTGTTCGATGTTGATGCCCTCCATCTTGGCCAAGACCTTCTGTTTGGTTTTGAGTAGGGAATGGGGGAATGGATTACGGAGACTGTTATTGGGAGTTATATAAGGACTTCTGTAGGGATCCACTGGGCCTTTCGGTAGTGCGTCATGACGGACAAGCTCCCACCTCTGGCAATCCGGCTTCGAAGAGCGGACTTCTGCTTGCTTTCGAGTTCCTCCAGGGATTGCTGTGCTGGAAGCAAAGGTGCGGTGAGCATGTCGTAGTCATCCGTCTCGGGTGTGTAAGAATCGTACGTGACATACGGATCTTCCCTGCTGCGAATGCACCTCTCTTCTTCAACAACCGGGCCCCAAAAAGTTCAAACTTTCTAAGATAGAGCTAATATATACGGCCAAAAAGTTTAAAGTTCCCCCGTTCGCTATCTAAGGCACAAGGACTCGTCCATGACCTCCGTTTCGGAATACACGGACGAAGCTCCGTCCTGTGCTGCGCACATATTGCTTGATCTTTCTGCAGGTTTGGCTAACACGCCCAGGAAAAGCCACACGTGTATGACAATTTGGAAAACATAATCGTATGATAATATAACAATATGCTAGTATAATACTAATATATATATATATATGTATATATGCATATAGTTAGTATATGTGTTATATATTATATGACTATACAAAAACTTGTATATACATATACAAATACTCCCTCTCTCTCTCTCTCCCCCTATGTATGTATATATATATATATATATATATGCATATGTGCATACATATATATCAACATGCACATGTATTGATTTTCTGGTAAGCAGCTCTTTATATCGAATAGAGTATAGAATATATAGGTTATACATTCTCTATTACAAGTTATAAGTATGTTATATGTTACATATTATAGATATCTAACATAATACCTTTTTGAAGTTGTCATTTGTAATATAACATAAAGCAGTATGTGTAGTAAAAAATAAAGAAAAATATCTTTTGTCTATCTGTCTATGTTTCTAACTACCTATCTATACACACAACCAAACGATAACAAGCTCCTCCCCCATATCCCCCCGCCCGAATCCAGCAAAGACGCATCCTCCCAAAGTTCCGGGTTGCTCTGCCGAGAGTCAAGGCCTTGAGTTCCCTCCATTGCTTCAGGGCCCAAGGTGGTCTCAAAACGTGCTTTGACCCTTGCTTTGACCCTGCAAATGGCTCCGACATCCACAGACAGTAAAGGTCTCGGAATGCAAAGCTTGACAGGTCAACCGTCAGCTTATCCACCTTCTGCGTGGAGCCTTGTAAACCAGCCGGGTGGCTGCAGGGCCAAGCCGTTCTGACGAATTGCGGCGAGGACAAGGTCAGGGTCGCTGCACAACGCCTCAGAGGCCAAGGTTTCTGTCAAAGGAGGTAATATAGGGGGCTTAATAAATTAGGATAGGGTTTTGGGGCCCATTATACTATAGTTATGATAAGGAACCCCCAAAATAGTATTGGTAGCTATTTAGGCCCCTATATTGCTTCTTTCATAAGGGCTCGAGCCATGCTTTCATGCCTCGGGAATACTCATGGCGTTTCCTTGAAAGCGCGATGAAACGGAGCTCCTTACCACAGAGCTTCTCAGATCCCACGAACCTCTGTAATGAACCTCTTTCTGGGGGAGAGACTCCTGGCTTGTCCTCATGCTAATTTAAGCCCTCTCTCTCCCAGGCGCTTGTCCTCATACTAAGACTTAGCCCTAAACACCTAAACCCTTTTTCAAGTATGAGCTTCACTGAGTTGTCCTTTAAACCCTTTGACAATCATATACTATTATGGTTCTCTACAAAATAATAGGGGAAAATGAAAAAGATCCCAAAGGACAACCCAGTTCATCTCATGGGGCTCTGGTCTTCCAGAAACCCTATGTGGCTGCCTGCGCAGCATGCCGCAGTGCCAGGCCGTTCTCCTGTGGGCTCTTGCAGTCTTGCTGCGGCTAAAGTTTAAGGGCCTCTACTTGCGAACTGGTCCCTCCGCCTAGAAAGGTAGAAACTTGCGAACGACCATGAGGCAAGTGGTCTGCCACTCCTGTGCTGTTGCCCGAAAAGTCTCGATGCACAACAACATGTACGAGCATTGGCTTCGGAAGAGCTAGAGCTCCCAGATATGGCACCCTGGGCTCCTCCACTGCCGCGAGGACAACGTGGCGATCAGCACGAAGGTCCTGACAGGAGTGTAGGCCTCTACACAACAAGGACAGCCCCGGACCTGCAAAGTGCGAGACTCCCGATTTCGGCCTCGCTTGCGTGCTCAAGGGCATGCCCGTCATGTCGAACGGCAGCCACCACTGCGTCCTTGGCATCCGAAAAGCACTTCGTGTAGGGCAGTTTCGCAGCCACGAGTCTTCTGAGCTCCGAAGGCTGAGCAATCCCCACGCAGCTCTACTCCTTTGTAGACGTAGCGGTGCCGGTGTGAACGAAGCCCACGAATGCACGTGAGGAGCCCTTGTCCAAGCTGTGCAGAGGCTTGAGGCCCCCGGAGTCCGGGAGACATACTGTCAGGATAAACAATCTCTGTTTCTCCATCCCAAAGCTCTGCGCATTTCCAATTCCGAGCAGCTCGATCTCTGCGAAGTTGATCGGGCATGCTTTCCAGCTCGGCCTGCCCTGCGATGAGGACTCTGATCAAATCGCACAATCAAACCCGCAGTCCCTCGCTTCAGCAGTCTCAGGACGTTACAACAAAGGAGACACTCTTCTCAGAATTGCAGCGAGACCAGCCGTCCGATTGCAAGGGATGGGGATTTGTGTGCGAAAAGACAAAGTCATACATGAGCGTGTCTTCATGTCTGTGTGCTCGTTTGCGCCCACCGCAACCTCCGCACCAACTCCCGTTTCCCTTTCTGCAAGGATTGAAGTACACTTCTGCCGAGTCATACCTCGGTGTCCATTTCCGGTCGGATAAAACGACTGAACCTCTTGGCTGTACTACTTCCCATACCGGCAGCAGCTTGTGACGACTAAAAGCCTCTCGACGAGAACACCCAAAGTGCGACAACAGCCCAAACCCAATGCCATATGCCTATCCGTTTCATCCTGCTCTCTCTCTCTCTCTCTCTCTCTCTGCCTCAGTCTTTCGACATGTCAATGGTGATGCAGACAGGCATGTGCACAGGCCACATGTGTGTTCACTGGCTGCGCTCGCAGATAGATAGAGACCTCAATGTAGCTTCATATCTCAAGACCGCCGATGAAGAATGAAAGAGTGTTCGCACTGTACAGTCCCTCAAGGTCTCTTGAGTAATCCTCCTTCGGTCCAACTTATAGTGTCGAAAACTCCGCAATGCTCACATCACGTGCAGCACTCGGCCTGCACTCAGCTTTTGCACCTCCTCTCCTTGGCAGTGCTTGACGCAGCCCGGTCTTCCCAAAGTTTCGCCTGAAAGGGAACTCCAGAAAGTTGGAATATGGTTTCAGGGTAGGATACCTTATAATTTACCATAAAGGGTTTAGGATAATCATATTCCAACTTTCTGGCTTTCACTTTACTGAGTGCCCCTCACGGCGGCCGAGTCTCTGGAAGCATGGGGCTTGTCGACGGGCTCAGCATCGGCTGGGGCGCCGCGTGCCTAAGGTGCACAGCTATTTTTACCAAGCGCCCACCGCGCTGGTCTGCAACCCCCCATCCTCACCCAACACAAACTCTCAAGAATCCGGCTTGAAGCCTCCAAGCTACGACCTTTCCACTCCTGCTGAAGACCCTATTGGACCCTAAACCCTAAACCCCCAAAGCACTAAAGCCCTAAACCGTCACGATCGCGCAATGTCGAGCCACCTTGGGCGCGAAGGCCGCGGTTGAGGCGGAGGCCAGGGCGCGTCCACTGACCTGCGAAAGGTCGGCTCGGGACGGGGCCTCATGTACGGGTGAAACAAGGGTTCTGAAGTAGAATATACAAATTATAGCAGTATAGTTATAATAACTAGTATCTACAACTACAGCAAGGAGCTATTCTTCGGTCTTCTAGGGTGAGCACGAAAAGCCTAGGAGCTCGTCATTAGAGCTCACGGTTGAGGGGGCCGTGCGTTCGGACGACCGAAGCCCAAGACCTTCCCTTAAGCACGCACGTTGCACTTGTACGGAACGTAGTTTCGCTGCTGCCGCTCCGCTGCACTCAGATGACCAGAAAACGGTCAGTCTACTTGCTCGGACAATCAACACCATGATCGTCTGAGCATGGCCATCTTGGCGTCCTCTCTCTCTGGCCCTCTGTGCCATTGCATCCAGAGGGTCTGGCAGCGCCAGGCAATGCGTGAGGCTAAGCCCTTCAGGCCTTTCGCGAACACGGAAACAGCATCTTGGCCCTAGAGTACACAATTTCCATGGATTTCTATAGTCGACAGTTGTCAACAGCAACGGCATTATCAGCTAGCATCAGCGCAACGATTTTGGCAATCCTGACCCTCATCCAGGCTCCCTCTATCTTTAACCCTAAACCCCTAAACCCCTTTTTTGCCACTGGGCTTGGGGATAGCCACTAAACCCCTAGACCCTAAACCCTCATCCGGGCTCCCTCTGCCTCTTGGGTCCAGGTGGCGAACTTGGCCCGTGGCTTGGACGGCTGTGACGGTTCAGGCGGCGCGGCCTCCTCAAGATTCAACCGGCTGTGGACCGCTTTGGTAAATAATCCTACACACCCGTCATCCTGAACCCATAAGCCCTAAACCATAAACCCTGAAACCGGGGCCCGTCATCATAAACCCATAAGCCCGGATTTATTAAAGCCTAAACCATCAACCCTCAATCTTTTCCATCCTGGCTGGTGCACCGGAGCAGCACACATCGCCTCATCGTACGGTCCCTAGGCCTGAATCATTAGAACACGCCATGTTGCAGTACGAGTATACACGGGGTTTAGGGTGTAGGGCCTAAGGCTACTTACCAACTCTTTCAAGGCCTTGAATCTTGCATAAAGGAATTGGAATCATTGGAGGGGCCGCGCGTCCGTCCTGCAAGTGCGTTAAGCACTGATTTGCTTACCAGGTCACACATGATGACATTAACAAACTACTACGTACACATGTCTTTCATGTATGTATGTATGTATGCAGGCAGGCATGTATGCCTACATGAACAATGTACATGTCTATATGTATGTATACCTGTATACATGCTTATATACATTGCTGCATTTAACTGTTTGTGTATGAATACATGTACATGCATAATTACATCCAGAGATGTATATATGTATGCATGCACACAAACATGGCTTAAACTACCCTACCGTATAGTATTCAAAAAATGAACCCCGAAAAAGAAGTACTATGGAGCTTATGGGTAGCTACTTAAAGGATCATGGGACTTAGTAAGTGGGGTTATAAATAAAGGTAACTATACATAAGTTCCTATACCCCCAATTAAGGCACTTATGACCTTACTTACTGAGTCCCATGATCCTCCAAGTAGACCCTAAACCTCAAACCCTACAGATCCCTTTAAGGAACCCTTTTGAGGATCGGAAACTCCCACATCTTGCGGACTCTGACTGGACCTGCCTCCAGGTCAGCCTTCTGCGTCGGCTCTGCAGCTCCTGGAATTGCAGTCAGATGCTTACTTGTGCGGTTTCCTAAGAGGAACTAAAGGGGTGTAGGGTTTTAGGGTCACTAGTTTCCTAAGAGGAACTAAAGGGGTGTAGGGGTTTAGGGTTTTAGGGTTTGGGGGTTTTAGGGGTCAGGGTAGCTCATTAGTTTCCTAAGAGGAACTAAAGGGGTGTAGGGGTTTAGGGTTTTAGGGGTAAGGGTGGTTCACTAGTTTCCTAAAAGGAACTAAAGGGTTTTCGACGCTCACACTCGCACAAGGCAGGCAAGGCTCCACAACTGAAGGGGTTTGGGGGTTTAGAATTTTAGAGTTTAGGGGTTTGCGGTTTTAGGGCTTAGGGCGGTTCACTTCGTTTGGGATTTGTATATAAAGGGGATTGTCCAACAAAGTTAAAGGCTGCTATGATTCTAAACAAATATTTTATATTACCTCTGCGGCCAGTGCGGCTGGCCGGGCCCCCATATATTTAGAAAACGTCACCGTGCCAGTAACGACGGTTCTTCGTTTGCCTCGAGCTCTCGGCACAGCCAGGCGAAGTTGATGGTACCAGTCTAACTACCTACCTGCAGAAGGCGTCAGCAGGTCACGATTGAACTTGGTGCCAGTCGGGTTCAGGGTTTGTTGGGTCTTGCTTTTGCCAGGGGTTGAGGGTTAGGAGTTTAGTTTTGGTTCCTACATGGCAAGCCCAAACAAAAAGCTAAGTCCCGAGGCCAAGCAGTCAACTGCGAGATCAGGAAAGCACGACCGACGCCCAGAATGCCTGGTGCTCTAGTGTGATGCCGCCAGCTCACACCAAAATACCTGTTCGTACTCACAATGCCCACGCTTCGAGAAATCCGGGTTGCTCCGACAATCAAAACAGTATATGTTGGTAACGAATGTATGTATACCGCAGCAAAGAACCAATCTTCTCACTCCCTGGGCCCTAAACCCTAAACCCCTAAACCCTGAACCCATAAACCCCTGAACCCTACCCTAAACCCTAAACCCGGGTTACGACGTGGGACTCGGGGCTGTCGTTTCGACGCTCGCACTCGCACCAGGCAAGACTTCACGACAACTGGGTCCATCATACAAAGATAGTTACCTATACTGTTCTGGGGATTCCTTATTATGATTATGGTATAAGATACCCCGAAACCCCACTCAAATTATTAAGGCCCCTGCTGTAGATCCATATAGAACCCCTTAAAGGATCCCTTTAAAGGAACCCTATTCTAGTTATTAAAGCCCCTATATTCTGGAACTCGAAATTTACCTTCGGTTAGTAGGGAATGGAGGAATGGTAGCAATAGTAATTATACTTATAACCCATTCCTCCATTCTCTACTAACCAAAGGTAAGTACAAAGCAGATCCTATAGAGCAAAAGCACCCAGCATTCTTTCCATGCCGCTGGCCAGGCATTGCAATGCAAGGAGCCGCGCGGTGGTGGGACACAGTGCTGCATTCCTTTGGGCCACATGACCCTAAGCCGCAGCTGAAGGATGCAAGAAGCTCTGCTTCCGCGTGAAGTGAGTGATGCTGTGCGACTCATGCTGTACATGCCACCACAGCACTCTCTTTTGGGAAGGGGCTGCGCCGCGCATTAAAAAAGACAAGGCTCATCCGAGGTCCCACTGCGTTTTTTATTCCAGTTCATTCTCCACTATCGGGGTGCTATTTCCTCAAACAACACATAGACTCCCATTAAAGACCTACTTGAATTACAATTTTGCCCTGTGCTTTCTTAGACTCGCTCAGGGCAAAGGCCTCTTCAATGTCTCGGAAAGGGAACTCATAGCCTACCACGGTCCGAATCTTTCCTTGGTCCAGAAGCGTAGACATTTGCGTTAGGATCTCCTTGTTGGGTTTGATAGACAAGAAGCGGCCGATGACATTCGGATGCTCGGCTGCTTTAGACGCATTGATGGGCTCGTTGACTGCAACCAGCCGGCCTCCTTCTTTGAGGGTCTGCCAGGACCGGGCCTGTGTTGGCCCCCCTACAGTGTCGAGCACCACATCCAGGTCACGGAGTACCTCTTCGAAGGCCGTGGTCCGGTAGTCAATCACAACGTCAGCACCCAAGGATTTGACGAAGGGGTGTTTCTCGGCGGAAGCAGTCGCGGTGACATGTGCACCCTTCAGCTTTGCCAGCTGTATAGCCATAATGCCAAGGCTTCCTGCACCAGCGTGGATGAGAACTTTGTCGCCCTCTCTCAGCTCGCCTAACTCATAAAGTGCTTGCCAGGCAGTTATGCTCGCGATCGGAACCGACGCAGCATCTGAGAATGAGATCGTCTTTGGCATGTGGGCCAAGTGGTCTTCTGGGACCAAGATGTACTCCGCGTGACTTCCATTCCTCGCTACTTCCGGCCGGCAGTACACCTTGTCACCCACCTTGAAATCTGTGACGCTTTCACCCACTGAATCGACGACTCCGGAAAAGTCCCATCCGATGATGTGGGGGAACTGGACGGGAATCAAGTCTGCAAGGACGCCATTTCGAAAAAGCCAGTCAAGGGGATTGATTGAGGTTGCAACCACCTTGCAAACCACCCCTGTAGCATCTGCAACAGGCCTCTCGACCTCCCTCAGCTTAGCGGAGGCACGATCGCAGTAGCCATCAATCTGCAGTGCTTTCATCGTCGCTCCGACTGAGGCCATGGGCTACAAAAGGCTTTGTGAAATAGGAAGCAGCTGAGGCAGCCGCTTTTTGCAGGCTCAATATGGCTCAGTGGAGAACAGCAGCGCAGGGAAATGCGTACCGGCTCGGGCTTCAAGACGGGGGAACGAATATGGGAGTTTCCGAAACTTAGGGGTACCTTATTTTGGGGTCCTTATGATAAGGATCCTACCATCTAGGGCACTATATTTGGGTCCCCTATTTTGGGGAAACCCCCATGTTTGGAACGGTTCGACAAGTCATGAGCGACACACCGCGGTTGTAAAGAACCTGTTGTAACTTGTCGTGGAACTCCCGACACGACATCTCAACAACAACGTAATGTTTAGGCTGGAGACGATCTACAGCTAGGCTCGAAGGAGAACCCGTGCGTGGACATTCGGTCAGGAGAATGTATGTTCGCGACGTGCATCTCTCGTTCACCTTTCTAGATCGGCACCATGGCCATGCTGAATCTACAAACCGCTGCTTTCCAATGGCGGATGCATGATGCGCTTAGTATCCATGGCCACTGTGTTTATTCAGGGGTGCCAGTTGCACTCATGCTAAAAAGAGTGCACTCATGCGAACAGAGAAACCTGCAGTACGTTGCCGTACTCAGGTGCGGATGCGAGTGCTCAAGAGCAAATGTCCCAGACTACCCCGCTCACCAACTTCTGGACATCCCCTGCATCCGAAAAAAGTTATGGGTTTAGGGTTAAGGGTTTCGGGTTGCCCTAAACCTCACCAACTCTCAGTCGAGCTTCTTCGAACGATCTGGGGTACCGTCCATGGCGCAGCACTTGCCTCTCAGGTGACTCTATGAAATCATTCTTGCACATCGCATTCTCTCGAAGGCCACCTATCCCAAAGAGGTCGAAACATTTTCAGGTAAGTGTCACTCATGTGCGAGGCTCTTCAAAGACTCGTTGCGTTCGAATAGTACACCGAAATCACAGGATGCTCGGAACTGAACAGCAGAACCGTCCCCCTAAACCCTAAACCGTCCACGCCTGGCCGATGGGGCGAACCTCCATTGACCGCGGCATTCGTAACGACGGCTTGGGCACTGCCCAGCTCGGCCTAAAGGGAACTCCAGAAAGTTGAAATATGGTTTCAGGGTAGGATACCTTATAATTTACCATAGAAGGGTTTAGGATAATCATATTCCAACTTTCTGGCTTTTACTATATCTCTTGAGCAACCCAGCAGGTGCCTTCCCACAAGTAAGCAAGACAATGGCCCACCACCCATAAAAGGCTATGATGGCTACTAACCCACATACTTTGCGAGTCTCTGTGACATTTCCTCTGCAGTACCGTCGTGTCATAGGATTTTAGAATATAAGAATCCGTTGCCGTGCAAACAGTGTTCCATCTGTGCTTTCTCTGCAGTCCTGAAATCCTTCCCGTAGCCACATCAGGAGACGCGTTTATGCCGGTGCCTGGAGCTGCATCTGCGATCGTGGTTGGAATCCTGCATTAGCTTCCGTGTGGAACTCATGGATTCTGCAAAGCACTCCGCGGTGAAGCAATATTATAGGGGCCTTAATGATTACCGATACTCTTTCGGGGGGTTCCTTTTTATAATTATAATATCATGTGCACCAAAACTCTATTCTCATTAATTATTAAGACCCCTATATTAGTCTCTGTTGTGTCGATTCCAGCTGTGTCTGCTTCCGCGGATCAGGGCTCATCAGACACCTAGACCTCCGGGAGGATCTAGAAACTGGATCCCCTGATTTGGGGCCCAAAACTACTAAGCTGTGACGGAGTGATTGAGAGAACAAAACAAATGTAAGAGCATATGCAACAACGCCGGCGCGTATGGCGGACGATGAACGTCGGCTCGTATGAGGGTACTTTACCGGAACCCACATTAAGGGATCTACTTTTTGGATGCTGTTTTCGGGTGAATGGATGCCTGCCGCCTACGCTTGTGAATGAGCCCAACACAAGGGTTCGAGAATCCGACAAAGAAGTCTTTCCGTATTTGCTTTTACCTATGTTAAGGCTTGTGTATGATTACCCGGATGACATCAGTTCCCACTGCTACTACAAGGCATTCTGAGTAGACCCGGGGTTGTGACTGTCTTAAACAACTTTGTGGGTGCCGCACTCTGCTACATGCTGCACCGCAAAGGAGCCGTCACGGCAACAACCCGTGAAAAGCATAGACAACCCGAAGACACTGTTTGTCTGACATCTAGCCTAGCCGAACGTGTAACATCAGGCAGCCAGGGTCCCGAAACATACAAACATGGTACAAGTAAAATGGCTTTAGTTTCAGTTAGCAGTGCAGGGATCTCTAGTCAATAATAAGGTTACCTGTCGTTTCCTCATCCTGGTAACTTAACTCAAAAAGCTGTACCTTTTGACTTGGCTCCGTGGTTGTTAAAATTATGGTCCCTGTTTGGGTCCTTTTTGTAATACGGCGCCTGATATTTAGGTACCCAAAAAGGGACCTTAATTTTGACAACTACCCATATCGATCTCAGCCGGAGCTCTGCCTCCTGCCAGCTCGGCACAGGCTGTGCCGAAGGCGCATCAGAGCTCGCCAAAGGCCTCTGCGACCCCCAACCCCAGCAATGATAGGTGCGCCAAATAAAGAACCGGCAGCCAGCAGCTTCGATTCGGGTCCGGCTTTAGAGTCATTCCCCCAAGAGCGTCAAGGATTTTGGTAGCTGAAGGTTGCTGAAATTGCTGTTACAGATTCTCCAAACCCTAAACCCTAAACCCTCTGGCTCGGCATCGAAGCTGGCCTTTGGTGGAACCGATCGGCGAGGACATCCTGGATCTGCTGTGCAGCACGCTGCTGGCGAAGTTCCTGAGAATCAGCTCGGGATTTCGAGACACCGCAGCACGCTGCAACTTTCGGAATGCTGAAGTGCTGTACTGTCTCTAAACTTCGCATTTGGGAGAGGAGAACAAGGTGCGTCCTGAAACCTGAAGGTCCCGATAAACTATTTCTAAACACCCCATACACGCCGTTAAAAGCCCTAAGAACCACCCTAGCAAATGTTCACCCGAAAAGCTCTATGAACCGTTACAGCCCCTAGAGTCTCTGAAGCCCCAGGACTCTTTAAAGGAACCCTATATTAAAGACCCTATGGTACCTTGTAACAGGATCCCTTTTGGGGCCCCTTGCACTACAATTAATTATGAGGACCCCCCCCCCCTCCGAAATAGCCGTGGTAACTTTAGTTAGGCCCCTAATATAGAACCCTATTTAGATCCCTTTAGAGGGACCTCACCCCTACTATAGAACCCTATAGGACCCTAGGACTCCGTAGCCAGAGAGCCCAATACCCCTTAATTAAGGAACATACCTTAAATTACAATAGGATCCCAAATATGATTTAAGGTATATTCCTTAATTAAGGGGTATTGGGCTCTCTGGGTAGCAGAGGTCTCCTCCTTTCTCGCGGCCGCCAGATTGAGCCGCTCCCTGCGCTCCGATGGGCGCTCGCAGTCTAAGGTGGATCGCGAGATCACCGGAATCACCTTGGGCTAGAGCTTCTTTTTTTCAAGGCTTCTGTCTTTGCTCTACAAAGATTCTAGAAGCAAGTCTTGTTTGTAGGGGCTTTGTAAGGAAAGTCTAGGTGGAACCACCCGGGGGTTGGGTTTGGCTTCTTTTTTGGGTTCCTCCGGGCGACCGGCCTTTTCCTGATGGTTCACTGTTTCGGGACTCTAGGGCTGCAGGCTTAAAGGTATGCTGAGTATGGGTGTAGGGTTTGGCGTTTAGGGTTTAGTGTTTAGGGAAAGGTGCTGAGTATGTTTTTCATTTTTTGAGCTCCTGGTTATGGCTGCACAACCATCTGGGCTACCAGGGGTTTAGGGTTTGGGGTTCAGTGGCTTGGCAGGTTCGGCTTTGGGAACGTTTTGGGCTTGTTTTGAACGCTTGAGGGTCTGAAGAGGAGGTTCAAATCCACTGAGACCAGAAGCATCGGCTGTCAAGTGGCTGCTTGCTGATTTAGCTTCTCCCAGTCGGCTCCTGCGCCATCAAATACGCGCGGGTCCATGCCCGAGGATTTCCCATAGGCCATAAGGGTTCAGCGGAACGAAGTTTTCAGGCAGGAAAAATCAGGTTTGGTACAGAACTCTTGGCTGAGCTTGGCTGCTTGCAGCTCTTGCCGACAGCTATTTTTGGAGCTAGCACATGCCACTGGAGCTGTTGCAAAATTAGGTCTGGATGTCGCCGCACACATTCGGCACTCAAAAAAGAACAAACACGAACCACATCTGAATATGCCCATGGTTCCTATTCGCACGACGATGGACAAGCTCAGACCGCTCACCATGATTCTCTTGCTTGCTGTACTTCGACTTGACTGGTCTTTCTGAACTTCGCAGCAGGCCATAGAGCAAAACTAGCTTGCGGGCAAAGATGGAATTCAATCTTGAGCAGGTGAGCTCACATGAGGTTGCAGCTCGACCCCACCCTCCTGTACTAGCGTCAGACCTCTTTTGTCCACTGTCAATCCCGCGTACGCACGCTGGCGCAAAAGCATGGGAAGGAGCGGCGGGCACCTTAGAATTGCAGCTTCACACTCATGATAACACGGGATTCAAGTGTGCTGCCAGGGTCTGCCTTCAGTACTTCTCCATCCCGGAGAACAGCGGAACTCGACATTGTCGAACCGTTCTACAACCCTTCTACAACCCTCGATTGTAAAAAACAAGCGAGACCCAGAGAGCCTTAATTAAGGAATATGGCTTAAATTATATAGGGTTCATATTATGATTTTAAGCTATATTCCTTACTTAAGTTGTATTGGGCTCTCTGGGGACAGTGTTCAGGGTCCGACTCCGCAGGTTCCAGGGGTATTTGCTGAGGCTCCCGCGCGCAGGTCTAGAATCAGCAGAGCTCACCTTCACCTTCTAAAACATCGTCTCAGAGTGTTTCCGGCAAATCGGAAGGAAGCTCTACCGCAAAGTGTCAAAAAGTCAACTACTATTGGAGCCTTTCTTTTAGAGTAGGGTTTGTGGGCCTATTATACTATACAAGGAACCCCCCGAATAGTATCGGCAATTTCAGTTAGGCGCCTACACTATCTTGAAATATGTTGCAATTCCATACCAGCCTTGCTTGTGCAATGGAGCCGCCAGCTCACGCTCCGAAGTTCGCCAGATGACAGAAGCACAAAGTTGTGCTCCCCAGTGCTGCTAAGATCTCCTAAGTGCCACGCATGTCTTGGAGATAGTCCAAGCCCAATATATGAATATATGATCCCGGTTCGGCCGCCCCCCCCCCTCCCCCCCAATGGTTCCTCCTCCCCCCCTGTGGTGTGGTGTGGTTGTGGGTTGCTTCCCCTTCCCTGTGGTGTGGTGTGGTGTGGTTCGGGAGTGGGTCTGCTTGGGCTGGTCACCCCACTCCCCCCCTGTGGTGTGGTGTGGTTTGGGTTTCCTGCGTGGGTCTGCTTGGCGTGTGAGCCCTGCCCAGTCACACACAGATTCGGCTTGGGGAGCGTGGGGGGGGGGATACCATTGGGGGGGGGGTCGGTGAACCGAGAACCGGGATCATATATCCTACTTCCTGGCTGGGGCATGGCAGCAGGAGCCTGCTCCATCTGTGCTCGGCACAAGACTAGAGGAGTTTCGGCGCTCAGGCTCGGGAAAGGCGTTTAGGGTTTGAGGTTTTATGAGGGAAATCGATCCCCTAACCTGGACCCTGTACTACTCCAGGCTAGGGTTTCGGGTTTATCATGGCAACACATCCCCTACTTTGTGGACCCTAGAAAGGGTACTTGAAAGGACCCCCCTGAAAAGAGACGGCAGGCCTCAGATTTCCACTTCGACTCGCTCGGGAGGTCAGGGGCCGTTCTGCCCCCAGGGGACCTTGGGCTAGGAGGGTTCAGACAATTATATATCATAGAAACTATAAACATATACAAACATATGCATAATATGTATGCTATGTATGTTAATATATGTGGATGTATATATATGTGAACATGTGTCTGTATGTATGTATATTACATATATATATATATATATGCACATATATATATATGTATATGTATATGTATATATATATATATATACATATATATATATATATGTTATATACTGTTGATCTAAATTGCTTCATACCGACATCATCTGCTTCGCGGAAAATAAGTAACTTTCGCAACATCATCGCGGAACTTTTGCGGACATACGTTTGCAAGTAGAGTTTACGGGCACCATACTTAATTCAGTGCTTCTGGCAGGCTTCCTAGGGGTTTCAGGGCTGCGTGGAATCCTCAAAACAGTAGTTGGAAGGGGATGCTTAACGAAGCCGTCTTAGGGCCTTAGGGTTGAGATTCTTGACAAAGTTTTCTGAAAGTTTCTCGATTGCAAAGCTTTTGGGGGGCAACATTGATTCAGAGTTGCTGGAAGCCTTCCTAAGAGGAGCCATTCTCGCCAGCCAATCGCGAAATGCACAAACAATGTCCATCAATGTCCACTAGGGGGTGGCCGTGGTCTGGCTGCGTCGACTTTAACGTTACTTACGCGGAACTTACGCGCTAAACCCCGTACGGGATCCCGAATTTTGGGTTCGTCGTTGCATACACTTAGGATCGACGGTGCTACGAGGCACACCTATATTATAGATGCTTTCTTGCTCGTGGGGTGACGTGGAGAGCGACCAGGACAGAATCCGCGCGTTTGCAATGGCTTAGTCCATAGGATTTGGAGCCTCGTTCACTTTGTCTTGCTTTCCGACTGAAGACGGCTTAATTAGGGCTCAAGCCCGACGCGAAAAAACGACAGATTGTAATCTTGAATACACGGGCCTTAATTAGAATAGGGTTTTAGGGCCCAATATTTCTTTTATGATAAGAAAGAACCCCCAACATGAAATTGGTAATTCTTATTTAGGCCCCCTGTAGCAAGGAAAGGAGCTGGGACAAAAGAGATCGTCAACGTCGTGGTTTGGCAGCAATCATTTTGCAAACTTCTGGTTGCGACTTTAAGTTAACGAAAACCTGCATAAACCCCTACATTTTTGTGCCACAGGCTTGCGACTTCGCCCGGAAGTTAAATCCTACCCTAGACCTCAAGAATATCCGGAAAGGACCTGGCCACTGCGATTTTCAGCTGAAGCGGCGGAAGACACAGCTGAAGCCGAGTAGAACCCCCAAACACTTCTCTATGGGGTTTCGGCGCTCACACTCGGACAGGGGTTTCGGCGACACTCCAGGCGAGGCATGTGGTTCGAAGTCTGTTGAATGAAACAATCTAGTCAGAATGGCTGCAAACACACCTTATTCAAAATCATACAGCTCTACATCGTACACTTTCTCCAGTCTCTTCCCAGAATCCAACGAAGTTGAACACAGCGGCTACGGCTAAGGCCTATGGAAAGCTTGGATTCAGGGGACTACAATCGGAAGATTACAGTCGCGGGGGCACATGGGCAGACATGGAGGACCTAGACGCTAGGATTCCAACCAGGACGGCCGAGGAGAAAGGGGCTTACTGCGATCTTGATGTTCAGGACACAAAGTTGCTCCACTGAAACTGAAGGTCCTTCTTGGGGATCAACAGAATAGATACTCCACGGCTAAGTAGTTAAATAGATAACTTGAACCATAGACAAACAACCCATACAGACGAATGTATATGGGCGGGCTGCCCTGGGTTATTGGAAGGAGCCTGAGTGTTATTTTTGGCACTCGCTCTCGGGAAAGCAGGCGAGGTGTTGGGTGTTCAGCCTGAGTATTGTTACAATATACTTGTACCTCTACCTGTCATGGGAATGGTGCCGTCAGTTTTCACTACATGCATTTACACAAATGTCACACAAATAGAAGCATGTCATAAATCAAACAGGATGACAATCAGTCATTGTAGAATGTAGTGCTGCATTGCAAAGTGATTACAAATTCTAGCTTCGCGATCTGTCAGCTACTCTAATCCCCCTGCTGTGGCATGCGCGCTGCTGAATTTCTCAGTTCAGGTCTGCTAGACTGAGGCAGGATCGTTGATGGCCGACATCATGAGTGGACATCATGCCGTCAATTCGACCCCTTTCTACCCCACCAATTCCAACATTGAATTCCGACTTTCTGCACTCCAAGTTCCAGGGGAACCTACTCTGCTCAGTGATCTATGTACCAGCAGGTCCATGACAACCCGCATTTGATAACCCGCTTACACAAGTAAATTCTATGCAGTTTGTGGGCAAACATGCAGTTATGCAGCATACCTCATCTGATCCCATCGCCATTGGCTCATTGACATGTCAAATTCCATGCAATCATCTTGCATTGTGACTGCAAGATAACAAATAATTGCTTGCAGCCAAGTAAAGTTGGCAGGTCGTGCACCAGCTTGCAGGCGGCGTCTCGAGTCAGAGTGGGTCAATTCCACGCATGCAAGTATGGACTATCCGCCATGGCTGTACTGACAGATTTCCACATTCCCGCATGCAGTCTTGCAGAGTTGGTTATGCGGGTACGGTTCCCGCTGCCATAGCGTGGCTCATTCTCCATGATCATACGGAGAGTCATTCCCCTGTACCGTTGCTGTAGCAAATGGAACATGCATCCGGCAGGACCGGCAGATCTGAGCATTCAGACACCAGTCGCACATCCATGCCCCAGAGTTTCCATGGTGCGTGTTCGGAGGTTAGTGGTTTCTAGGGTGGACCCTCCTATTTCAGCCTCTATAAACACAGGCATGCGCAACACACCATAAACACCGAAAAGTAAAATTAGCATCTGGGAAGAAAGGGGCATAAAACATTCTCGAAGTGGGGGTTGGACGTCCTCGGGAGGGAGAGAAACCAACCGCAGACCCGTATATCTTAATTAGTTTACATGCAGGAGGCAAGCAACGCAGGGGCCCGCCGTGTGTTACACGCGCCCCCAAACTGGTAATCAGTTGTCGTCGACACCTCAAAGCCCTCAGCGCCTATCAGCAGTCTGAACGTCATGGTGCTTTGGAGTGTGCTCCGGTGTCGGTGGGAAGAAGACGACGTGCTGGTCCCTGCACATCTTGGCAGGTGCTGATGCTGGGGATTCTTGCTTCGCCCTGTCGTCGAAATTTTTCCTCCTCG